GCTCTTGCTTGCCAATCGTCTTCTGTGAGATCTTCGAAAAGAAGTAGCATATGCTGGTGATGGCCATTTTCAAGAACTCTGGCTTTATAGCCTTGATTGCAATAGGTAAAAACACTGTCAGCATCACATGACAATCGTGAGCCTTGCAGTATGTTATTGACAAGTCCTTCATCGACACTAGCTTCTTCACATTCGCTGAAAACCCAGTCGGGACTTTGACCCCCCTCAGGAAAGTGCATATAGCTCTCTTCTCGTCTGGTGTTAGGTTGAAGCACGCCATGGGTAGAGTATATTTTCCATTAGCCTCAGGTACCGGGTGAAGCTGTGGCATCACGTTTAGCTGCACCATGTCTTTCTGTGCTTTCAGACCATCCTTTGACTTGCCTATGTCCATCAAGGTAGCAATGAGACTCTCAAAGATATTCTTCTGCACATGCATAGCATCAATGGCATGGGGGACCTCGAAGTCTGGCCAATAAGGCAGATACTGAAAGAAGATCGATTGTTTCTTAAAAGGTACGCCTTCGACAGGAGGTGTGCTTCTATCTCTGTTCGTCCCATCCGGATTCTTCTTTCCATATACGACGCGTATGTTTTTCACCATTCTGTACACGTGTTCTCCGTTATGATGTCTCTCCGGAGGGGGTTCAATCTCTAGGGTGTTGTCATAAAATCTAAAGAATAATTTGCTGCGGTACTTGTGACTTATCTTTAAGAAGCATCGGTTCCTTAGGTAAACTATCTTCTTGGATGCATCCAGGTACACCCATGTAGTACCATCCAAGCAAACCAAGCATCCTGTCTTCCCTTTGATCTGTCCAGACAAAGCAAACAGCACGGGGTAATCATTGGTAGTAACAAATATTATTGCTCTACATATGAAGTCCTCCTTTCGGAACGCATCATACATCGGCACCCCATGCCTCCATAGCCTCTCCATTTCTTGCATCAAAGGCTTGAGGAACACGTCTATATCAATGCCTGGTTGTTTAGGGCCAGAAATAAGAATAATGAGGAGAAGGTACTTTCTCTTCTGACACAACAACGTTGGAATGTTGTACATGGTCAAGATCACTGGCCAAGTGTTGTGATCGCTCATCCTCTCATTGAAGAGATTCATTCCATCGGTGCCCAAGCCAAACCATACATTACTTGGGTCATCGCTGCATTCTTTGTGCTTCTCATCGAACCTTTGCCACTGACTACAATCAGCCGGGTGTGCAATCTTATCATCATCCACCTTGCGTTCATCATCCCACCATGTCATGAGTGCGGCTTCTTAAGGGTTTAGGAAGATACGTCTCAAGCAGTCGGTCACTGGCAGGTACCACATTACCAAGGTAGGAATTCTTCTCTGCTTTGCATCATTGCCTAATGGAGTGTTCTCTAGGGGCTGAGATTCTTGTACCACCTTTTTTGTACCCTTCCTATTCCTCTTTTTCCCTATGGAGGCTTCGTCCCCACCGTAAAGGTCATTATTCTTGTACCGGCTGACCCCACACCGGGGACATTTATCCAGTGACTTGAATGTTTTGCCACGAAAAAATATACAGTGGTTGGAGCATGCATGGATTTTTTTTCAACCCCCATTGTCAATGGACTTATGACCTTCTTCACTCGGTATGTGTTGGCGGGAACTGAGTTTGGTTGTGGCAGCACCCATGACAGGAGACGTAATAGATCATTAAAACTATAGTCTGACCAGCCGTACTTAGCTTTCAGGATGAGTAGCTCAAGCACAAAATGTAGCAATGTCCAATGTGTCGGACAGCCCTTTTCAACACCATACACAGTCTCCTTCGATGCTTTTGTCACCCTTTCCAAATTTTTTAGACCTTTCGGGCTATTTAGTAAAATCTCTGGTCCAAGGGCTCAAATCATGTCCTCCAAATCATCTTCATTCCCGACACGTGCTCCACCATCATTATTGGCACCACATTCGTCGTTACCATCCCAACCACCAGCATCACCACCATGTTCATTGCCAAACTCGAGATCCATTCGTGCATTGAGCTCTGCTGAATATTGGGACAGGGATTCTAGGGTTTTATCGTCGTATTCCTCCTCATCCTCGTCGTTAACAATAACCGTTTCACCATGATGAATCCACACTGTGTAGTCCTCAACAAATCCTCGTATAATCAAATGTGATCTGATGATAGTCACATCTGTCCATGCCATATGATTCTTGCAATCTTTATAGGGACAAATAATTGTATCATTATTCTCTGTCAACGTCGTTGCATGCTTCTTTGCGGCTTCAATAAATTTATCCATCTCTTCACGGAAACCTGCCTTGAACCTTAACGAACCATACATCCAAGAGTTCATGTACTCCATCTTTTACAACAACAACAAAACAAACATTAAAGGACTACTTATTCAGATATATATAACAATGAATCAAATTAATAATTACTTGAGAACAATTGTATATACTTCATATATATATGAATATAAATCAAATATAATTACATGAAGCATACAAACGCACCATGGTAGAGGAAAATTAATTAATGGCCCATTTATCCATAAATAATTAAAATATAAATTTGTTGATTATAATAAACAATTTCAAAGACAACAATTAGCAACAATTATATTTTACCTAATATCTTTCATGTAAACCCTAGTCCAATTTCATCAAACACAAAATTATAAAAACGAAATTAATAAAAAAACCAAACCCTAGATCTAGATCTACATGCACATGAAACATCCATAAAACTAACTAATTGTTCACTAAAATCAAGAAACATGGACCAAATAAGGGTATGATCTTGTTCCCCTACCTAATTTACCCTAGTACATTCAAAACTTGGGTCCAATTTGCTTCATAAGTAGCTCAAGCACCATAGAAGAGAGAGAAAAACAAAACTCTAATTACTCACTAACCAACCATTAAAACTTCAAAAAAAGTGTGGAATAGCATTTTCTTACCTTCTACAACCTCCCCACCAAAGGATTTGAGACCAAAACCTTCCCCCTTATTAGGGCAATTTTTGGGAGGTGCCCAGTGCCTCCCCACCTTTCTTTCACGGGTTGGAGTGAGTGACCCGAGGAGAAAAAAGGTGCGGCAGGTTTTTATATGTGGGTTATTTGTAGGGGCGGTTGATGATTGAGCCGCCCCTACAAATGGTAGGTAATTATATGTGGACATTTGTAGGGGGAAATCATCACCACTTCCTACAAATAGAAACACCGGGGGCAGCTGGTGAGTGAGCCGCCCCTACAAATCAGACCCATTTGTAGGGGCGGCTCGTATCACCAGCCGCCCCTACTGTTCTATTTGTAGGGGCGGCTGGTCTCTGGGCTCCCGAGCACGCCACTGTAGGGGCGGCTGCATCACCAGCCACCCCTACAAAAAAATTGCCACATTGCTACGAACCGTTTTTTACGTAGTGGTTTGCATGTACTATGTACCACCTCTTAATAATAGGAATAATCACTAGAAGAAAAATAAATTAACAGAGATAAATATGGGCAAAACATATTTTGGGAGGCGCTTGCAGCATCCGTCTCTAAACAATGGTCGCTATGGGCATAGTGCCTGCTCTCTCAAAAATAGAGAAACCACGCAAAAAAAAAAGGTTGTTGTCAAGTCCAATGCCATCGCGGCTCGACTGCTCTGCACCGAATCCGCCTCCTGAGCTCAAGGCCACAGCTAGGGTGAGGGAGCCAAGTATTATTATGGGAGAGCGAGGAGCCACGCATGGGCGGATCGGAGAGGAGTTGGGGCATTACAGGAAGGGGTAGGTCACTGGCTCCTGAACCCACTTCTACCTTAGCTATTGAACCCATCGCCATGGAGTTCTCCACCCTGAAGCCTCAATGGTGTCTCGACACGGTGGACACCCCAGGTGATGACTAGCTACCGCTGGATCTAGATCTGCCGGCTTGGGGAAAGTAGGAGAGCGGGACCCAACCAGGGCAAAGGAGAGAGGGAGAAGAGGAGGGAGGGAGCGAAGGCTAGGGCTAAGCTGCCTCTCTTGTAGGAGAGAGGTACAACCAAGAACCTCGTGTGGTACTTAAAAGCTAGGATTTGCTTAGTTGGCCAGTTGTAGGCCTTAGTCTTATTGATATAGGTAATTTTTAAGAGGCCCGCTCTCTAAAATATACTCTACTTTTAGATGCAGTCCTCTTATTAATCAGTTGATAGAGGCAGTTAGGACTGTGTCCTAAAATAAATCGACCATCTTTGAAATTGACTAGGTACTTTTGAAGACATAGAAACTTTTAGTCACACCTCTCTAAATAAAATGTGTTGTCTTCTAAAATCGTTGCATAGTAGTGAATAGTCCTATAAAATTTTTCTGCTTCAAATAGCCGGGTAGCTTAACATATGGGTCTTTAGACGAGGTCCATGTGATGATTCGGTTAGTTCATATCGTCGTATACAAATCTTATACTATATCTACAAAGCTGGGAAAATGGACTAGCTGCGAGAAATAAACCAAGTTAGTTTGCACGAGCTAACCGTCCTCCAACCTCCAGCTGCTAGTGCCCTCCCTATCGTTGAAGTTGAAGCTACCGGACGTATAGCTGCCGTGTAGCTGCACGCGCTGAATGTTCTCGTCCTGCCCCCCTGCATTGACCCTATACACATTCTTTATTCCCCAATAACGCGAAATCACCATGGACAGAAATTAAAAAAAAACGCATCACAAGAACCGAAGTAAACACCGGCCAGAACGACAATGCCTCCGTTCCCTTGCGAACCAATTCGAACTCCCAATGCAAATCACTCCCCTGATTGATTGCATTGGTGGAGGTGGAGGTTTTGCAATAAACAATCATTTGACACCTAACTTGTTCTGCTATAAAAAGCTCAGGGCTACACAGCCTCCAACACCATCCAACAATCACCACACCAGCTCTTCTCCTTCTTATCCTCTCCTTCTTGGTTGTCTTCCACCTCCCAATCAAGCTCTCGCCATCGTCAATCGATCCATACACAGCCAGCAGCCAATTCTCCCAAGGAGCTACTACCGCTTGCGGCGATGGCGATCCCGGTGATTGACTTCTCCAAGCTGGACGGCCCCGAGAGGGCTGAGACCATGGCGGCCATCGCTGTTGGAAGTTCGAGCACGTCGGGTTCTTCCAGCTGGTGAACACTGGCATCCCCGACGAGCTGCTGGAGCGGGTGAAGAAGGTGTGCAGCGACTGCTACAAGCTGCGGGACGAGGCGTTCAGAGACTCCAACCCCGCGGTGAAGGCGCTCGCCGAGCTCGTGGACAAGGAGAGCGAGGGCGGCCTTCCCGCGAGGAAGATCGAGGGCATGGACTGGGAGGACGTCTTCACCCTCCAGGATGACCTGCCATGGCCTTCCAACCCTCCCGCCTTCAAGTGAGTGATGATGATGCCCATGATTGAGATGATTGAGTCCATTCATGATTCTTGTTTCGGTAGTGCCATGAGCTTATTTTTTTGTGTTTGATGCATTGCAGGGAGACGATGATGGAGTACCGCAAGGAGCTCAAGAAGCTGGCGGAGAAGATGCTGGGCGTGATGGAGGAGCTGCTGGGGCTGGAGGACGGCCACATCAGGAAGGCCTTCACCAACGACGGCGAGTTCGAGCCTTTCTATGGCACCAAGGTCAGCCACTACCTGCCGTGCCCGCGGCCGGACCTCGTCGACGGCCTGCGCGCGCACACCGACGCGGGGGCCTCATCCTGTTGTTCCAGGACGACCGCTTCGGCGGCCTGCAGGCGCAGCTTCCCGACGGCAGCTGGGTCGACGTCCAGCCCTCGAGAACGCCATCGTCATCAACACCGGCGACCAGATCGAGGTATGCGCCTATGCGGTGATCATGCATATTCTCTTCCACTATTCTATATTCCCTTACATATAAAACTATATGCCTTGGCCTTGATTCGATTACACTTGATCAGTAGCGAGCAGCTTAATTGTGGAGACTAAGTGTTTTCTATATTAATGATGAAATGTACTGCCTCTGCAAGTTACTTGTGACTAGCGAGGAGGAATTTAATTGCTTATCCTCTGCCATGATGCATGGTGGTTGCATTGACAGGTGTTGAGCAATGGCCGGTACAAGAGCGCGTGGCACCGCATCCTGGCGACGCGCGACAGCAACCGCCGCTCCATCGCCTCCTTCTACAACCCGGCGCGCCTGGCCACCATCGCTCCGGCGATCCCCGCCGCTGCCGGTGGCGATGACTATCCGAGCTTCGTGTTCGGTGACTACATGGAGGTGTACATTAAGCAGAAGTTCCAGGCCAAGGAACCAAGGTTCGTGGCCATGGCGACGACGACGACCAAGTGACTTGCAGCGCGTACGTGCAGCGACATGATCTCAGCTTGCGAGGCTTAATAAGTATTAATATAGTCAAATTAATCGTATGATTAAGGTACGGGCTTGTATGATAAGTAGGTTGTTAAGTGTGGTTTAATGTGTGTGTAGAATGGACGTGTCAAACAAATGTGTGTGTGTGTGTGTGTTCGTGTGGATGCCCTGCAGCGAGCAGTCACAAGAATATATATCTAATTGTGACAGATAAGCTTGGCTGCGGTGAGCGGTGGATCTGTGGTCAACGGTTGCCATAGTGATTTGTAGCTTAAAATGGCATCTGCCAGATTACTTCTTCACTTTTTTTTTGCACTTTTCTTCATCAATTTGGGTCATCAAATTGTTCATGTGGTCAAGTGGTTTGTAATTGTACATTACACTGAGAAACTATATATATACTGGCTTTACTTAGGGCCAGTTTTAGCTTAAATAAAAGTATTCTAATCCTAAAAAGAGAAGTTCTAGATATATGTGATGTGATCAGCTAAATGTAACATTTAAATGTTATATAGCTTAAAAGAACGGTAAAGCTAAATAGCGCTGAGGTGTCTTAGACATTATATTCCTACACTCGATTGATTTTAGCCTATTGTAGAACGCCATGCTGTGCTGGTGGCGCATGCTGCATGCTGATTTCATTTTCAACATCTCCTCTGCACTGCATGGAAATCTGTCTTTCCCACACCTAAAATTGTAATTATTATAAATTTATATTGGATTTGCACTGTAGATATTTTTTTTGCGCAAGCACACTGTAGTTATATTAAAGTTACAGTGATTATTTTGGCGTAACTTCTAGATAGAATTGGTGTAACTATAGAACTATTTTAAATTTTTTGTTTTGTTCATTTGTTTTTTTAATTTGTATGTATGACTAATTTTGAATGCATATATATGGAGATCTTTTCATCTGCAATTCATAGAAAATATCTGCTTAATTTGATAATCTTATTTTTGTTAATTTGATTTTGATCCTACGGTAAAACAATCAAGTGTTTCTTGGATTATAAACACCCTTAAATTTGTTTTATGTTCACAATCGAGTATTTAGGTGGCATTGCAGCACTCGGGTGGGGAAGGAGATAAGAGAGAGGGGGAGATTGGTGTCAGATCTGAGGGGCAAAAAAATTCGTGTTGGTAGGCTCCAAAACACTCAGGTGCTGTGTAGATAGATAAAAGAAACAATTGTTTTCACTACTATAACAATTCAAACATACTAGTCCATCAACCCGTACACTCGCACGGGTCAGAATCTTAGGAGTAAATGTTTGTATCAATATTTACTCTTAAGTATCATGATGACATATGTAATCATTAGTTTTAAGCCTACACCATGTCACTTAAGATTAGTGATAGAGTTCGATGTGAGGTTTACGATGGGGAAGACGCTGGCAACTATGGTATATACTAACCTTCTCCTTTTCTCAAAATGATTGATTTTTATTAACAAACATTTTTTATGTAGTAATGGTTATATTATCAATATAGATATGTCAAACATTTTAGATTATATATATATAATATATCTTAAGTATGTGTGTGTGTGATCTGCATGTTGGCATAATATGTATGTTTAATTTAATCAATTTTTATTGTATTAATATTTATAAAATGAGCAATGGAGAAACATATTTGTGTTTTATGGTTTTTTTTTGATAAGCTATTAAATAACAGTAAGATATAGATAATTTAGATACACATCTAAATATGTTAGTTTATATTATCTTTCATAATGGTATATTATAACATCATCTTCTAGAACGTAGAGTGCTTAAAATTAAATTACAAATATTTATATATTATAATATTTTAGTCAAAATGTGTACACTTATCTTGAATAAAAATTTCCAAAATTTATTATCTTGGAGTACTAATATAACTTAATTACTATGTCATTTACTAAGGGAATAATTTTTTCACCCATGATAAGTTGTTAAATAAATAGTTATTCTAATGTACACACGTTTAGTTGGTCTATATGGTGGGACATAACATTATGCTTATTTCTAACTTAACCGTTATAGAAGTATATAATTTAGAAATATATATAGCTACTTTGTAAATTTTTTTTTTTTGTGATAGCTTATATTAATAGTTATAATACATTGCATGGGGTCTTTATTTTAGCTTTATTATATGTACTAGTCCATCAACCCTGCTCTAGCACGGTCTAGAATTTTAAAAGATGTACTATTAATATATTTTATTTGATTATAAAAATTACTTGTATTAAATTGTATGTTTTGCTTTATTTATTTTCTATAAAATTAACATAATAGATACTTTGTAGTCTAATCTAATGATCATAAGCTTACTAATTGCTTTTTTTGCAAGGGACTGACTTGTATATTTTTTGTGCATATTCATAATTTTACTTTACATGGCACCTTGTATATTTTAATATGCAATTAGTTTGTTTCCTTGCCATTAAGTATGGTGACCCTTATTGCATCAAATATATTAAGTCATGAATCTGATTTTTAACTTCATTTTATCGACTGCTATATATTTTTTTCCTCAAGTTAAAACTCTTACTAACTCTCATTTTGGATTGTTTTAAAATAAGCATTTTAGGTCGTATTGTACATCCCTAAGTGCTAAAATAGCATATGCAATCATTTAAAACATGCAGCATGTCACCTAACATAAGTGACAGAGCTTGGAATGAGATTTCTGATGGGCGTAGCCGTGCTAACCTCGAGAGTCGAGAGAATTTTAAATCTTATTAAGCCTTATAATGATTCAATTACTCTAGAGTAGTGTTAAAGTGCCAAAAAAATATAGCCATCACTAGCCTCCCACAATTCTTAAGATGATTGAATTTTCCTATTAAGGAATTATGTATGCAATTATGGTTATACTATTAATATGGATGTGTCAAACATTTACTTAAAATATATAAATATGGATAACATAACAACCTATATAAATTATGTAATGGTTACTAATATGGTTTTAGAAAAATTATTAGCACCATTAGTATATGAGTTGTTAAGGAAATATGTTGTTGACGAAACATAACATATATATTTATCACTCATGCATGCTGACACAATATGTATGCTTACATTAATTAAATCTTAATATATTAATATTGATAGAAGTGGGCAATGTACAAACATCCACATGCTTTATGGTTATTTAAATAATTTTTCATAGAAGATATTGATTATCTTTTAGATGAAGATTGAGAGTGATGTAGACTAGGCTCGATCTTCTGAAACGTATGATAGCGTCGATTGGTGGAGACTCGACGTTCACGATCTATGCTTCGAACCAAGACTGATTGGGACCCCCACAACCGTTACACCACTGCTCCGTTGGTTATCAACCACGCGAACGCGATTGACCTCGCCGAGAAGGCTTTTCTGCAAGCGAATCGAGAACACAAGTAAGAACGAGATAAACGCAATCTGAAATTGCAAATAAATATGAGGCTTATGATAATAAGGAGTTCAAGTCTTTATTCGAAAGGACTAATCGCCACAGGCGAACAAGATCAAGAACTGGGGCCCTAGATCACAGCAAGCGGGCTTGGCGGCGACAGTTGCAGCAAAACGACGTCTGTTTCACGAGGAAATCAAGAACTAAACAAAACTCAAACCCTAAGGAGAGCGACAGCTGATAAATATAGAGTCTTAGGCGTCACCCCCTTGGACGCGCCCCCTAATGGGCCCAAACACGATACACGGTCCAACGGACCAAATTACGGTGTCGTAGCACCCTAGTAGATTTTGGGCGCTGACTTGTGACCATGATTTCCATTGATTCTGAATAGCTTTTGATGTGAGACCACTTGGATTGTCTTACTTATCAAATTAGCTTTCCATCCATAAGTGTATCGTCGAAAACGGAGTCCGGATGCATCCTGGGTGACCGGTTTAAGGCAAACTGGTTCTGGAACCCGAGATGGGCTCCAACTTCAGTTGGACTAGGCCTCCACCATGGAAAAGATGAATTGGACGCCCATGCTGGACCTCCTCCTCTCCTTGACTTGTATGCGACGAAGTAGTGATGTCCTCATCAGAGAGCATATGTAATTTTCTTAGTAATGAGATGAGAATTAGGTTACATAAATTATTTATTGCAATAGGAGTACGTGGGTAATATGATGCAAATTTAGGTCTAGTTTAGATATGTTTCTTAATGGCATATGTGGGTATTTTAAATGTAGAGTCATGAGTTATTTTTTGTTGTTTTATGTAATAGCAAAGGTGGGTAATTATTTAGAAAAAAGAATAGATCAAATAGTTATTATTATCAATGGTGATTAGGTTATACCAAATTGATGGTTAAATGTTTTAGATTTTTGTGAGAAATCTCTAGGATCTATCTTTTATTTTTCCTATTGTGTCTCGTGAGGATTAAAGTGGAGGCTCCAAGTAAGGACCTCCAGCTAGCATTTCTAGTATTTATCGCTTTTGCAAAGATGACATGCATTTAGTTTAAACCTAACCATAAGATATATGAACTCTTATTGCTTCCATTTCACGAATTATAGTTTAGCTTTCTACTTTTAACCAAGTTGTACAATTTTTCCACATGTAAGTAGAAACTCTAGTGTTTTTAATTTTTTATTCAAAATTTATTTTTCGTAAAAAGAGTTATGTCTTACTAGTATTGTTTTCCCCATGTTAATTAAAGTTGAAACTTTGATTGGACCCTGGCACCGAACTTGTTGAATTGTTATATCAGAGAATTATTTGTGTAGTATTATTTTGTACATCATAGAGTTGTAAAAATGAAATTGCCAAAACTGATATGACATAATAATGTTTTAATTAAAATATGTAAAGTTATTTAAAAACAACTTATGAAATTCATGATTAGGGAGTATTAATATAATTCAAAGGGAATAGTTGGTGTTATGTTATTGATATATGGTTTGTTAATTAAACATTTTCCATGCTTATAAGCTATTAAAATAAATATTCATCCTAATGTATACATGTCTACTTAGTATACATGGTCAGACA